TCTGTCGTCTAGTGTGGTGGACTGGTTGGCGTACAAGCTCTCGGGTTGGCTTTCACCTTGTCCCCAAGCCTGCTCCCAGTAGCTGGGACGGTCCACCCCCCCGCCTGGCGAAGCTGCGTGCCCAAGGGGCTCGTTGCTGTGGCAGGATCAGCTGTGTTGTAAGTCCTGGCCCTGGGGCTGGCTTGTCCCAGCCCAGCCGTACGTGTGGAGCACAAGCTTTGGGTCGCAAAGCTTGTGCAAGACTTTGCCAGCATCGCTCTGCAAAACACTGAGAGCTGTGCCTGGCTTTAGTCCAGCCATGGCAGCCTTGTCTCTGCTGCAGGGGGTGTTGTAGGAGGGGATGGTGTGGATCTATGCAGCTGGTTCCCAGCAGTGCTGGGGTGGTGAAGTCCATGAGCTCCTCTGGCACTGCTTGGAAGTAGAAGCGAGCTGCAGCGTTAAGGCATGGCTTGGCTGCCTTCATGTGGGCCCTAACCAGCCCTATGGGGAAGGGTGGCTTGGCTCGTGGTGGTGGTTTAACTGCTAGCACAAGTTAAACTGCTGACAAGGCTCCCATGGTCCCCGGCGTCTTCCCTTCGGGCAAGCACATCACTGGGTCTCTGCCACCAGCGGTGACATCTTGGCTTTCCTAAGGGATCTCCTGTCAGCAGCGTGCTCGGCTCACTACAGTTAAGTGCAGGAGGCTCCCTAGTGCTGCCCACCTGCCTTGATGCAGTGTTAGTGCTGGCGTGCAAGTCACTACCTAGAAATGGTGTGGCTGGGTGTGTTTTGGGTGTTGTTAACAGGAGCACTTGCATGTACTCAACTGCCTACTGCTCCCAACACCTGTAACTGAAGGACTGGGGCTGTGATGCTTGGCCTGTGGGCAGGCACAACCCAGTAACCTGCTAGCTGCTCCCATTCTGCTAACAATCAGAGCCAAAACTGGCTCTGAAGTTTCATGTGACATTCAGTGTCCTTAATGGCTCAGATGCCTTGGTATAGCCTGGCTGGCAGAGATCATAATGCTCAAGAGTGGGTGGAAGGGAGGCAGTCTGTGATGGCCTCTGGGCTCACACGAGATTTGTAGTAGTGACCCTGTGTGGCAGGGGCTAGGAAGGTGATCTGTTTGGTCCTCCAGCCTCCATTCCTTGGTGTAAATAACCTCTTGTTTATGTGCTTTTAATTCTCTCACAGAGCAAGCCCACAGCACCAAAAAGGGAATCTCTTCTCCCTGTGAGCAGCACCTCCAAAGAGAATGGGGTTCATGTAGAGCAAGATGATCAGGACTTATTTGCAGGTGAGTCTGTATCTACTGGGTGTTTGCTGGGGCTTTCTGAACTCTAAGCCTGCAGTGATCTGCTTTTATCCATGACCTGCGTGTCATGCTTATTTCTGGACTATCACAGGTCCTTATCTCAAACTCATGTTCCAGTCTGCTCTGGAAGCACTAAGGTCTGGTGGTGTTTTTGGGAAGGGTGGGAGTAGCCTTCTTCAGGTCTCTAGCATAATCATGCAGCAGGATTAACTGTTTGGAAGCTGAAGAGGTTTGCTTTAGTGCAAAATGAGGTTTGTTTTAGTTTTGTTGCCTTAAACTGTAAGGTGGTGAGTGTCCTCCCAGAGTTAAAAGGCTTTTGTTCTTTACCTTCTCTTCCCTCCTTGCAGGTGGAGGAAGCGTCTATAGTCGACATGGCTGTTCCCAAGGAACAGGAATTATAACACCCCTCATCAGGGGAAAATGAGGAGGGTCAGACCTTCCCCAGCCCTGGCATGGTGGGACACCCCTGGCAGAGGCATCTGAGAGTCAGTTCTGGAGACATCTGCCAACAGATGTTTTGACTTCCTCTGTGTGGAGAAGTGTATTGGGAAGGAGCCTACCTTCCAGGCTGGCCTACATGTCCTGTAAAAATCCAGCTTGGCTTTAGCTGTTCTAGTGTGCAGCTCCTCTAGCACACAGTAAGGAGGTGATGTCTGGTTCCTTCTAGAATAAGTAGTTCATTGGATTAACTTAATGTTCTTCGGCAGGATTGATCAAATGCTCTTAACTGAAGATGCATTAAGTTGTGTTCTTCCCAATGCTTGCAGGTGTCCTCCCTATGGATTTTTTTTGCTAATTAAGACTATTGTTACTCCCTAGATCCCATGAACCTCTCAAAGAATACTGACATTACCTTTCCAGAAACCCAAAGTAGAGAGGCTGACCCTTGCAAACTTCTCTTGACAGATGCCACTGTAGAGTTGTCTCTAGACAGCACGCAAAACAACCAGAAGAAGGAACTGGCCAAAGCATCCAATCCTGCTTCCTCATTAGAAGTAGCTGCAAGCTCTTCTTCTAGAAATCCTCCAAAGAGCTATGAGGAGGTGAGAATTGCTCTGAGCTTTCCAACTTACCCTGCTGGTTTCAGACTGTAATTGGCAGGAACCTGTCTGTTTACTTAGTTGTAAACATGCATCTTAATATAGCAATTACATTAATTGCATCATTTGGATGCCCTGGCTTGTATCTCAGGCCATCAGTCTGGGACTGATACTGCTGAAGTGGGGTTCAGGTCAGCCTGACAGCATTCTTGCTTGTGTGGTGGTGCAGACTGCTTCCAAAGGTGAAATAGCAAGTGGCTGATCTGCTCCTGGGGGTCTGAGCTCTGACTCAGAGCTCTAGTATGCTGTATTGCTGCAGATGGAGCAAGTGGTGTAGTTGCTCTTGTCCATGTTTTTATAAGAAAAGGTCTCCTGGGTGACATGAGAGCACAGGGTGCTTAAGTGGAATTTGTAGTCTGGTTGCCAAGCACAGTTAATCAGGTGGTACTTGGCCTAAATCTGGGTTTTCTCCTGTAGAGAGAATGAAACTATTTTGGAGACAAGGAAAGTGCTCCTTTTCTGCCCCAAGCACTCCTGAGCTCATGAGGACAGACTCTGCAGTGCTGTCTGGAGTAGTTTCTCAGGTTGGCTTCAGACTGGCTTAAGTGAAGGAGCAGTGCAGAACTAGGCCAGGATGCTGAGCTGATCAGCAAACCGATAAGCTGTCACCTTCAGGTTCATGGACCAAAGGCTGTTTGAGGCCAGTCTCAGCTCTGCTTTGCTCAGTCCTTTAATACCATTCCACTAACGAGGCACTGCAGTGCTCTCTAAGCAAGCCTGAAGCCCCTGTGGTCTGTCAGCAGCAGTACTGCTGGTATAGCCGCCCACTGGCCTTTAGTAAAGCAGGGTATGATGGAAAGACCTGTTCAGACTGGGTCTGCCAGTTGCTATCCTGGCTCTCCATCCCTGTATGCCTACACAGTACAACTTAGCTTATGCATAGGTTCAGTATCTTGCACTGTTTCAGATGAGAAGCGAAATCATGATGTAAAATAGCCCAAAGGGAACTATCTTGTGCAGAGCTGAGGCTGGACTCTGCAGAGTTTCACCTTGAGGCTGAGCAGTTTGTACATCGGTCTGTGCCAATAGCAGTGTTGTAAAGACAAATCCAGTTTGGGATCCTTGGAAAATGTAGCCTGGACGTAAGTGAGAAGGTCGAGGGTTTCACAGAATGGCCTTGGCCAGACTGTGGTGCCAAAGGTGCCTTGGCAGTATAACAAAGTCCCCATAATGTATGGGACTTCATGGTTTGGGGTGGATTGAAGCCTGGCTTTCTAGTTTTAACTTGCTATCCTTGTGTGCTTACTCCAAACAGCTGGAAGAAGAGGAACAGGAGGACAAATTTGAGCTGACCGTAAGAGTGAGTGACCCAGAGAAAGTTGGTGAGTTAATACCCTGTCCTGCTGCATGGTGAAGCAGTTAGACAAGCTAGGCTTGGCCATAGGACCAAGTGATCAGTAGGCAGCTATCCCCTCCACGTGCCACAGCTCCAGCTTTCAAGCTGTCTCTGCAAGCGCAAACTTGATCCCAGAGTAACTTTTCCAAGACTTCTTCCAACGTCTAGAAGAAATGAAGCTACACAAAGCAAGATGCCTAGGTCACAAATAAGCAAGGCAGAAGCAGGTTCTGGAAAGCCAGGGACCTCAAAGGCAGGCAGCGAGGAGCAGGTTTTTTGGGAGGGTGAAACGTGATGCTTGCAGTAGCAGAGCTTGGTGTCTGGAACTGTGGTGACCAACTTGACTTGACCTCCAGGCAGCACCGTCCTGTGTGCAGGTGGTAGGGGGGAGGCAAAACTGCCTTAACCTAAAACTAAGTGTATTATTCCATGCTCTGGCACCTTCCCTAGCAGCTGTGCTTGCCAGGGAAGCAGCTCTGGCTTCAAACTGAGAAGCAAGAGGGTTTCTCTCTATTGAAAGTGTGGGTCAGAGAACTTGGCCAGCTTTGTGGAGTCCCTGGGGTGCAGAGAACCCCAGGTAACATTTGATCCCATCTGGCGGAGCAGCCTCACATGTGGCAGCTTGTTCTCACTCCATGGCTCATGATTTCTGGAGTTGAGAGGTGCACTGGTTTGTAAATCAGAGGTATATTAGGGGTGGCATCAGACTTCTGCAGATGCCCTTCAGCTGAACTACCAGGTAAACGCTCCCCTTGCCAAACAAGGGGATTTATGTGCTAATTGCAGAAAACTGCCTGTGATGTTTCAGAATCCAACCACATGCAGCCAGAGGCTGTCTGACTTGCATCCTCTGAATAGACTGCTTCATGTGCTGTACAGCCGCCGAATTGTTGCGTGCTGAGCAGATGCGTGGAGTCAACCCAAACGCTGTCAGGGTAACAAGCGCCTGATTGTCCGTGCTTGGCTGCCCAAGGAAGTAAAAAAAGGTCTAAACAGTCAGGTCGGGGAAATGCCTAGCGGGCAGGGGTCCAGGGTCCTGCAGTGAGATGCTGCCTGCAGTTCTGTGCAAAGATTTGTGGCTCTGTCAGATCAAAGATCGGAATTGCTGAAGCAGGCAGAGGCCAGAAGATTGTAGGAGCTTTGTGCTTTGCATTCAGGTGATAGTGGAAAGTGCTGATCTTGTGATACTAATGCCTTGTTTCTGTTTTCCGTAGGGGATGGCATGAATGCGTATGTAGCCTACAAAGTGTCAACACAGGTATCTCTAACTCGTTGCTCCTGAGATGGGGTGTCATTATTTTTCCATGCTTGAAGAGAGCTGGACTGTCCTTTCTTAGCCAAGCCAGTGGTGACCTAAATAGGCAGGAGGTCTGAATGCCTTGTTACATGGATTCAGGAGTTATAATCCACTCCTACAGATCAAAGGATGAACGTAGCTGAGAAATAGGTTTTGAGCCTGTTTGAAAGGAGGCTGTCGTCTTTTTTTTTTCCAACCAGTTACCTCTTTGCAGTCCTGGCTGATACTGGTGCTCAGCATTGGAGTGAGGATCAGGAATGACATCTGTTAGGGAGAGCCTCAGACACTGGGGCTGTTGTTCATCATTCTGTGCCAATAGTCACATCAGATTAAGCTGACCTGAACTCTGCTCTCACTGAAGAGCTGCTGCTGTAGCTAATTTCTTGTCAGGACCTGCTCTTCTCGGCTAGTTGCAAGAAATTGAGCCTTATGCAGCTGCTGCCCTGCTTGGAGCGTTGAGGTGCTGCTCTGAGCTCTGCAAAAAGTTGTTCCTAGCTACCTGTACAGCAGCTGCTGGACTACAGGCATCCTGTGGTCTGAAGCTGATGGTGTGTGAAGGGGACTAGGGGACTTGTTAGCCTCCACTCCTGCTGTGCAAACCCAAGTCAAAAGCCACTGATGGCCCCTGTAGTCTTAAGGTGATAGTCTGGCCTGACAGTGGTCCCTGTTCCTGTGGGGAGCAGGGATGATGGGATTAGGCAATGGGCAGGGCTTACCAAGCAGCCCATGGCCACAATAACAGCTGCTTTGTTATTTAGTGGCGTTAATACTGCTGTTCTCCTTGGACTGAGCTGTTAGGAGGTAAGTTGCTGAAAACCTAGGCTAGAGATTGCTCTATTCATTCCTCATATCTTGCAGAGCTCAGGCTGTCCTACTTCATCCCCAGAAGTGACAGCAGGTAAAGCTAGCAAGGCTGTGCATGCAGGGGCAAGCTTCCTTGGGTGAGTCTGATCTGAGTCTCATCTCTTCCCCCAGACGAGCATGCCAATGTTCAGGAACAAGCAGTTTTCAGTGAAAAGGAGGTTCAGTGACTTTCTGGGTCTCTATGAGAAGTTGTCGGAGAAGCATGCCCAAAATGGGTTCATCGTTCCTCCACCGCCTGAGAAGAGTCTCATAGGTGAGTGGTGCAGGTGCAGAGCACTAGAGCTGGTCCTTCTGATGGCGAGCTTTGTGCCTGAAGGACAGACCTGCCTGCAGTCTCAAAGCCAAGAAGGAAGCTGCGGAGCAGCTGCAGGTGTGGAAAATAATCTGGATTCTGTGGCACAGACAAAATTCTGCTGGTTCCATACTTGGAGGTCTGGGCTTAAAGCCTTGTTTGAGTTTGTAGATGCCTCTGTATCTGCCTGACATAGAGTAAAACCTTATCGTCTGCACTGTCACTGAATTGCTGTTCAGTTGAGTCCAGACCTGTAGCCCTTCCAGTCTTGCTTGGCATTGCTTTGCCTCTTTTCTGGATGTCGACTTCTGCTAGATGCTAGGTATAAGCAGATTTTAAATTTCCAAGTAGCTCTTGCTGATGCAAGGTCTAATTCCTGTTGTAAAATGCTGCTCCTCTGCTGTCACCCTGATAGTCTGTACTTTGTAACAAACCACACTACTTTGTGTGTTGAGTTTGAAGCAGCTCATTAATTGCATCTTCCTTCTCTGCTAGGAATGACCAAAGTGAAAGTTGGAAAGGAAGACTCCTCCTCTGCAGAGTTCCTAGAAAAAAGACGGGCTGCTCTAGAGAGGTACAGATCCCAACAGCTATCCCCTCGTGCCTGAACCAAGCAAGGTACCTCTGAAAGGTCAGACTGGCTGCACTCTCCTCCCTATACGAGAAAAGCCGTCTGCTTCTAGGTTTGCAGGGAACCTGGAGGCTGACGAAGAGTTGCAACTGCAGAGAGTTGCTTTGACTCTAAAACAATCTCCTGCTTCAAAAACCCCTGCTGGTGTTTGGTCCAAATCTGGCCAAATGCCACTGACATGGCAGGGAGAGAACTGAGCTGTCTCAGGAGCTCCAAAATATGAATTTTAAGTAATGGTACAAACAGTGCAGATCAGGTGAGAAGCAACTCTATCTCTAACTTGCACCCTAACTACACAGCCACAGGTGGCCTTTGCTCTGCCACCTGTGTTGACTGTTGTAGTTAGCACCAGGATGTTGATCCCCCCCTCCAGCTCCAGCCTCTGAAAGATCTGTTAAAAGTGTCATTGTTCAAGATATAAGGCTGGATCTTGATCACTTGGCATATCAAGTAACTTTCTCCCTACAGCAAGTATTAGTCAAGGGTCTGGTCTTGCAGTCTGGTCTCACTAGAGTCCACAGGGTGGTAGGACTCATGGTGGGTGGATGAGATCAGCTTGTTGGGCCTGACTTCCAGCTACTGAACTGCCATTTCAGAGTAAACAACAAGCATGTTGCAGCTCACTGTGATGGCTCAGAGCCAGGTTTGCTACAACCGAAGTAACTCTTGGTGCGTTCCTCTCTGCAGGTACCTACGGAGAGTGGTCAGCCATCCAACAATGCTGCAGGACCCAGACGTCAGGGAGTTCTTGGAAAAGGAGGAGGTCAGTAGTGTGGAATAACGTAGCTACAAGTACCTTGGAAGTACAGAAGGAAATGGTACGCAAGCAGTTAAGGAGACATGATGCTTCAAAGCTCAGCGAGAAGCAGCAGAACCCTGTAAGAGCTCTTAACCTGATGACAAGAACAGTGCTCTTCTATGTGTCAGTGGTTGTCTAAGCACTGTACACTCATAACGAGCTCTGGCCTAGCTTGCTTACATCATGGTGGGGCACACATTGAAAGCGTGCTTTTTTTGTTTCATTTTTAATTGTCTGAAATCCACGATAGGAGTGTAGCCCACTGTTTAGAGGTGGGGGGGGGGGTCCTGTGCTGGCTTGGCCTGATGCTCAGATGTTAAGGGAGAGCTGGCCAATGTGGTCCCTGTTCCTTCAAGGAGAGCATGATCATGCCCAACTGTGCACCTGATGTGGAGAAATCAGACTCTTAAAGAGGCTGAGCCCTGGGGGAACCCTAGCCTGAATGATTCCAGTGCTAATGCTGTGCTGGAGGGCTCTGATGTAGGAGCAGACATCATGGAAACACCTCACTTTGCTGATGAGCAAATTCAATTCTGTCTGGAAAATAGCTGTGGCTGGTGTAGAGCATTTCCCAGCATCAAAGCCCCACTCTAGTGTCCCCCAGCAGCGCAAACTGCTGCTGGCTTTTGGAGGGATGTTCCAAAGCACTTCTACGTGCCTGTGTGACCTGTGGCAGCTTGGGCAGCTGTCAGTTCAGGGATTCAGGTAGCATGGCTGGTTCTTACAGACCTGTGTTACCTTGGCCAAGCAGAACAGGTGGACCCCAGATACAGCGTAAGGTTTAGGAACTCCTCATTTGTTTGATAACCATTCCAGTTCTGTTATTTGAAAAGCTGTACAGGCTATGGCACTGCTTGGGCAGTGTCTGGCTAATCCTTTGCAGTAGCCGTGAGCCAGAAATCCTGCTGTCAAGGGACCCATGTGGGAGAATGATGCCGCTGCAGTGGCTCCTTGCCAAGCTGCTTTTATCTCCTGGCCAAGCAAACTTTTCTATTTCTTTATAGCTACCAAGAGCAATAGGCACCCAGACCCTCAGTGGTGCAGGAATACTGAAGATGTTCAACAAAGCTACAGATGCTGTCAGTAAAATGACCATCAAGATGAATGAATCAGACATAGTAAGTAGTTGGACACCTCTGGGCTGTCCTCATCCTTGCTCCCGAGCTGCATGCTCTCCCCAGCTCTCAAGCTTTGGGTCCAAGATGTGACGAAAGCTCCGCAGCCCCATAGCAATGCCATCCGTGGGAATCAGCTCTGGGTTTACCCATTTCAGTGGTTCGAGGAGAAGCTGCAGGAGGTGGAGTGTGAGGACCAGCGGCTACGGAAGTTGCATGCTGTTGTCGAAACGCTAGTGAACCACAGGAAAGGTAACAAGCTTGGTACCGCTTGCTCTGTAGCCTGGCCCATAACAGTTAAGCCTTGTGCGGTGCCTGACTGGAGGTCACCAGTGCCCAGGTGTCCTAGGAGACATTTCTGAGAAGATATGACAGTGCTTCTTTACTATAAAGGACTCTCGGTCTCTTCATCATGGCAGGCAGAAGTAAAATGGTAATCCCACATCTTCTGTCTAGCCCTACAAGTTTAGGATGACAGTGTTGAAGTGAACCAGTGTCCTGCAGGATGAAGGCTGCCATAGCAAACCTGAGCAGAGCTGATCTTATTACTAATTCCAACCTGTCCTCTGGCAGGGAACAGGGATGGTCTTTCTTCCTCTCCATGTTTTGGCTGACTTCTGCAAAGCTGTGCCTGTCCTCCCACTCTGCTGCTTCCCTTCTCCTCCCTGGCTGGAGTTGCCTAGCCCTCCTCCCACTGTGCTGCAGAAGCTGCCAGCTCTGACTGAGATGGTGCTGGCTCTTCCAGCTGATGTCTCCTGGGGCTACAGAAAAGCAGCCCCTTGGGCTGAACTCTAGGCTGGGGCTTTACTTGCAGAGCACCCGGTGTAGCAAGGCCCATCAGTTGACTCTCTTATTCCATTCACTAGAGCTAGCGTTGAATACAGCCCAGTTTGCAAAGAGTCTGGCCATGCTGGGGAGCTCGGAGGACAACACGGCCCTGTCCCGGGCACTGTCCCAGCTGGCTGAGGTGGAAGAGAAGATTGAACAGCTGCACCAGGAACAGGCTAACAATGACTTCTTCCTCCTGGCCGAGCTCCTGGGAGACTACATCCGCCTTCTCTCAGTTGTAAGGGTAAGCATGCCTTTGGGGCAAGCTCTAAGCTATGCTGTTCATCCTAGCACTGATCCTAGGCTTAGGTGTGCCAGGAGGCAGCTGGTCTTCTAAATTCAAGCACAGGGCATGATGTGCCTCTGACCTGTCCAGGCAGAGGGTGAACTTGCTGCTTGTCCAGTTGTGCATGTGTTGGAGGGGTTAGATCGGAAAAGTAGGGTAAGTGAGGCCTGGCTGTGCTGGTATTCTCCAGGGGGGATGTGGAGCAAGTGCGTGGCTTGTAGGTGGCCTCAACCCTTCCAGAAACCACGTCCCAAGTGAGCTGTAAGTCTGGCAGGCTGACTTGTTCCTGCCCCAAACTTGTCCTGTCTCTGAGCAGTTGTTTGTGGAGGCTACAGAGGCCAGAGCACAGCCTAGTGAGTAGGCACAAGCCTCCTTGGTCTGCCAGTCTGTACTGGAAGGTGTGGTGGGTGCTCCAGAGCAGGCCCAAGATCTCTGATAGTGCTGGAGATAATAAGACTTATCTGGGATGTTCTGGTAAGGAGCCCTAGTGTTGCCTCAGACTTTACCTGTCTCTTGGCTGCTCTGTCTGTCTGACCAGGCTATCAGACACTACTTTCTGCTTTTCTAGCTCTTCTCCGTGATCTGGCTGGATGTGTTCAGAAGTCTAATGGGTCTTTCTTGCTTGGGCTGGTGATTTGCAGGCCTGCTAAAATCATCTGGCCTCCTGGCAGATGTCTACAAGCTACTGCTGGAGCATGCTGTGCAGCCAGCAGGAGCTAGGAGCACTTAGCTCTGCAGAAGCTTGTGGTGGAGATCCAGTGGGGGACAGGCAAGCGTAGCACCTTGTACTGGCCACTTGTGATGGCAGGACTGAAACAGGCAGGCAGCAGAGCTTGGGGGCAGGCTAGACATCGTACTTGGGATGCTTCCAGTTCAGGAGGTGGCCTCAGGCCTGTCCAGGCTTGTGCTGAACTGTGTGCATAGCTGGGGCTTTTCCAGTGACTCTCTCCTGCCAAACCCTAGAGCAGGTGGGCAAATCCTGTGCTGCCAGCCCCGTAAGGAGGAAGGTCTCAAAGCTGTTCCTGAAGCATGAGTTGGTTGATGTTGCACCTGGGCTCCTTTGCTAGTAGAGCAATTCCATGTTCTGGCTCAGTTTTGGTTACACCAACAATGGGTTCAGGACCTGGCTGATGAAGCAGCTCTGCTGTTAGCTGATGTCCCCCTTACCAAAGGTGTGGTTGTCACTGTCAGCAGAGTTCCTTGTAGCTGCCTGCTGCTACTGGTGTGGTAGCAGAGGCAGAGCAGAGCTCAGTCTCCGCTCCTTGCTTTTAGGGAGCCTTTGACCAGCGCATGAAGACCTGGCAGCGGTGGCAGGATGCCCAGACCATGCTGCAGAAGAAGAGGGAGATGGAGGCCAGGCTGCTCTGGGCCAACAAACCTGACAAGCTGCAGCAGGCCAAAGAGGAGATCTCAGAGGTAGGGGGTGAGGAGTTGCTGGGGTCTCTGCTCAGCTCCTTCCCTCTGTGCTGTCACTGAGTGGTAAGAAGGGGACCTTTTGAGCTGAAGGGACAGGTATCTATTGCCAAGCTTGCATGAAGGGATAAGCCAGCCTTGAGCAAGCCTCGCAGGAAGCCACAGAAGCTGCAGGATGGGCTGCTTGCGGTCCCACCTCCCGTGGCTTCCTTGCTGAGCTTGCAGCTTGCTGTGGTGGTGAGGACCAGAAATGCTGGGCTTTGCTCTGGCAGCACCTCTCATGAACAGTCGTGGCTACAAAACCACTTGGAGAGGGGAGCAAGAGCTGCTTCACCTCCCCTGCCCTGGAAACAGTGCGCTTCCTCTCTCTGCAGTGGGAGTCTCGTGTGACACAGTATGAAAGGGACTTTGAACGGATTTCTGCTGTCATCCGCAAGGAAGTGATACGGTTTGAGGTATGTTTGGCCAAGCCCTTGGTGTGCAACCCTCCAGCTGGTTGGCCTTGATGTGCCTTGGCTGGGAATACCAGCCTGGGCTAGCCAAGGGTCACTTTGGCTCCTGACCCCGCTCCCAGTACAGTGGTTGGCAATATTTGTAAATCCAGACACGTGTGAGTTGGGGCATCACTACCACAGGCAGAGCTGATGTTTTTGGCTAAGAGCAGGCTTCTATGCAGAGAAGTGCATCTGTTAAAATGAGGGTGGGTGGGCAAAGATCCTCTGAGTCATCAGGCTGTGGCCAGAGGTGAGCTTCATCCTCAGCATCTCATGCTCTCATGCTGCTTGCTTCATGTGGGCAGCTGAGCTCATCCAACAGAGCCCCAGGAGGAACAGGAAAATTGTGGTGGCTTGTCCTTCCCCTGCAAAAAGCTGGAGGGTTTTGGTGGTTCGTTCAGCCTTGTACTCACTCCTGCACCCACCTCTTGCAGAAAGAGAAATCCAAGGACTTCAGAAACCATGTCACTAAATACCTTGAGACATTATTAAACTCTCAGCAACAGGTGAGTAGCCCCAACCTGGTGGTCATTTTACCTCTTGAAACTCATCAGTGTAAGTTTGCACCCGCTCAAGCGTACCTCCCACCCTGGGTGCGTCCTGCTCCCCACACGTGGGGAGGGATGAACCCCACGGGCGGAAGCAGGACAAAATATAAGCATTGCATCCCCCTTTATGCCTTTTCTGGGGTGCTGTCCCCCGTGGAGGGGCTTCTGCCCCACCAAATGCTTCTCGACTTGCTCTGGACTTGAACTGTACTGGCAAAGCACCCGCAGGCTCCTGACTCTCTCCCTCTCTCCTCTCTGCAGCTGGTGAAGTACTGGGAAGCGTTCCTACCTGAAGCCAAGGCCATTTCTTAATTGGACCGAGCAAATGAGCATACCTGAACTTTGCCTTTTTTTTTATATACACTATACCTCTTCCTCTTTTACATGTGAACGAACCCTAGTTAAACACTCTGGAGCTGATAGAGGTTTAACCCCCAGACAAACAGCTTGCAAGCCAGTAACTCTTCTAACTGTATATTTTTCATTTAGCAACATATATTTTCTTACTGAAGAGAAACTAGTTTCCTGCTTTAAGACCAGACCTGCAGCAGGGGGTTAATGATATATGTAAAATGTATATTTTTCAGGCTGGGTTTTAGGGCTCTAATGACTATCTTACTCCTGCAGTGCCATTAAAATTCTGTAATAAAACTTCTATCGGGGCAAACAGGCTCTTCTCTGTTTGTGGGCTAGGGTGGGGAGGGCTAACGGCTGCATCCTGTGGATGCCGAGGGAGGCAGCGGAGCCTCTGCCTTGTTATGACTGGACCGTGGGTGACCTTGGGCACTGCCCTAGCCACCTGTCCTGGTGCCTGATTAAGCTTTGGCTTTCTGCCTTGCTCTGAGCATGAGCCTGGGGTGGCTGTTTTTAGGATCTGAGCTCAGCGGGGCTGGGTAGTGGCCCCACTTGCTGTGGTTTCTGGGGGGATCTGGCCCCCAGGGAGCTCGTGGGGAGCCTTTGGGGGCTGTGATTCTCCTCGCCCCCATGGCCAAGGGCCATTTTGCTCCTTCAGCCCCTCCCAGGACCCCAGCTGTGGATTTCATCAAAACCGATACCCCTTCTTCTGCCTTAAAAGAAAGGAAAAGGCAGCTTATGCTGACTTCCCACTTTCCTTTCCCCTTGTCCCTGTCGAGCAGGATCCCCGTGCTACCTCCGGGCTCAGAAACCGCCCCCCCAGCGTGCTGCGTTTGGAGCTTGGGCCTGCAGGTCCCTTCCCTGGGGCGCTCCCGGGCTGGCTTTGGGGTCCCCCGTGGGTGCCCGGGGGCCGCGGCTGGCCCAGAGCGGGGCTGACCCGGAGCCCTGACCCGGAGCCTGCGGGAGGTTACGGCGGCGCGAAGCCCCGCGGCCGCACCCGCTCCCCCCGGCGGCACCGGGCGGCGGCGGCGGGCGATGATCGCCGTCTCCATCCCGGCGGCGGAGCCCCAGGCGGCGGCGCGCGGCCCCGACAAGGCGCACACGGTGAGGGGCGGCTCGGGCAATGGGGGGGTGGGCTCTGGAGTGGGGGGGGAGGTTTGGCTGTCCCCAAGGGGTCCCCACCTGCCCAGGGAGGGTGGACGGGGGTTTCCCTCTGTCCCCGGAGTTAGAGGTCCCCAACTGTCCCCAGGGGGTCCCCATATGCCCCGGGTGCAGAGGTCCCTGCCTGTCCCCAGGGGTCCCTGCCGCTGGCGGGGGACTGACCCTCTTCCTTTGAAAGGGAGGAGTCCCTGGTCCGGGTGTCCCCTCTGGCACCCGTGGGTCCCTGTCCGCCCTGGGGTGTCCCCACCTGGCCTGGGGCTTGGAGGTCCCCAAGTTTCCCCGGGGGACCCCACCTGCCCCGGGGGTGGGTGCCGTCTCCCTCTGGCCCCGGGGGTTGGAGGTCCCCAAGTCCCCGGGGATCCCCCACCTGCCCCAGGGATTGGAGGGCTCTGCCTGCCCTGGGTCCCTGCCGGGGGCACCCTCTGCCCTTGAAAGAGGGGGTGTCGCTGTCCCGGGGGTCCCCTCTGGCTCCGGGGGTGGAGGGTCCTCTCTGCCCCGGGGATGGGTGGAGGTCCCTGCCTGTCCCCAGGGGTCCCCACCTGTCCTGGGGGGGTCCCCACCTGCCCCAAGGGTTGGAAGACTCTGCCCGCCCCCTCCAACCCTGGGATCCCTTCTGTCCCAGGGGTACTGCCTGCTCCCGGGGGTCACGTCTGCCCCAAGGGAGGGGAAGGGAGGAGGTCTCCATCTGCCCCAGGGACTGGAGGTCTCAAAGTGCCCCCAGGAGGTCCCCACATGCCCTGGGAGTAGAGGTCCCTGATTGACCCCCAGGGGATCCCTGTCGGGGGGGCACTCTCTGCCCTTGAAGGGGGGGCTGTCCCTGGCCTGGGGGGTTCCCATTAGCCCCGGGAGTTGCGGGGATCCCCCTCAGACCCTGGGGTCCTGTCTCCCCTCCCTGCCCCAAGCACCCCTGTCTGCCCCAGCTGTGTCCCCCACCTGCCCCAGGGGCTGGATGTTCCTCTCTGCCCAGGGCGGGGGTGGACGTCCCCAAGTGTCCCCAGTGGGTACCCACTGACCCAGTGGGAGGAGAGTGGGAGGGGTGGGGTTGTCTCCATCTGCCCCGGGGGTTGGGGACCTTAAGTGCCTGGCAGGGTCTCCACATGCCCCAAGGGGTCCCTAAGGGTGTGGGGGGTGTCCCTGCCTTGGGGGAGGTCCCCTCCCCCCACCCAGGGGGTGGAGGCTCCCATCTGTCCTTTGGCTTGGAAGTCCCCAAGAGTCCTCCCCAGGAGATTGTCACCTATCCCTGGGGGAGGTAGCAGGGGTCTCTGCCTGCTCCCAGGGGTCCCTGTTGGGGTGGGGAGGACAGGATGGGACCCCTGTCCTTGAAGGGTAGGAGGGTCCCTGCCCAGGGGTCACCTCTGGGCCCGGGGAGGGGGGGGTGGAGGTCCCAACTGCCCTGTGCCCCTGCTGTGAAGGCACCCACTGCCCTTGAAAGAGGGGGGAACCCCACATGCCCCGGGGGTCAGAGGTCCCTGACTGTCCCCGGGAGTGTGTCCCCCACATTCCTGGGGGGGGGGAAGGGGTTGGAGGGGGTTT